TTGTAGCCCAACGGTTAGTCGTTCATATGTGCGAATATGTGCGAACGACGGATGTAATATTTTTCTCATTTACAGGGGAAAAAAAGTTGATTTTGTGTTGATGTGTGTTTGTTTGTGCAAGTTGATCGCATACGTTAATAATGACTATGATTAAATCAGAGTTGAATATTTCTTGGAGAATTGATTATAGAAGGAAATTCTGAAATATATAAAATGTAAATGACTAAATTAAATAAAAATATTGGATAATTACATAGAAAACACCCAAAATTTTGTTATTTATAAATTAAGCAGCAAGGTGACTTCTTAAAACTACCAAATTTTGATATTGTCATCAAGGTGACTTCTTAAAACTACCAAATTTTGATATTGCCATAATCAAAATATCGAGAATTTGATAGAAATGAAAAATAAGGTTTCAAGTTGTTGTGTAATTTAGGGCGAAGAAAAACACATCAAGAGACTTTTTTTCATTTCAGGAGGCATACCTCTCCATTTCACGATACTAAATTTTCTGTTATATGAGTTATACATAAAACAAGTTTCATCGAGAATTTTGATATTTGTGTGAAAATTTGAAAAATAGATGAAAGATGGTGGTTAATTTGTAAATAGCAAGTTTTCGAGCGGTCAGTTTGTAATTGTCCGATAAAATAATTGTTTGTTATATTTAGCTTAAATTAGCTAGCATTCATAAAAATAAGATTATGCATTAATAGACGTCCAGTTATGTTGAAAAAAGAAATTGATCTGCGGAAGTGTTATGGGAAGTTGTGTGGGAAATATAAACACGAATAATAAAATGATAAAAAATAAGAAATGTATATATAATATATAATTTTAAAAGTTATTTTTATTAGAAAATAACAATCAAATTTATTTCATATTTTCTATTAGAAATATCAAGCCGTGCGTTCGACAAATGATGTGATCCACGTCACCGCACTTCTGTCATCCTCATAATCGAACAGTCCGCATCTAGTCCAAGCTTATTTGCTCTCCTATTCAAATTTAGCATCTATTCTTTTAGCTTGGTTGCCTCTGATATGAGAGGCATGACATGACAAACATTAAGCACTTAAAATTTTCTTTTGGCACATTTAGCTCTCATAGTCGAGAAAAACTTGTGTGCGTAAGATGTAAGCAGCGCTACGTACATCAGGGAGGTTATTCAGGGGTATTGGAGGGTTATATTCAAGTTATACCAACTATAACCTCCCTGTAACCTACTTGTAACCTACAAATATATAAAAATAGAAGAAAAAAACTTACTAGAAGGTACAAGAATGTTACAGGGACGCTACAAGGGGTATAAGACTATAACTTGGAGGTATAACGTGAACAGTTCCTCTTTAGCTCGAAACACTAGTACCAACCAAGTCAAAAGCCATTAGAAGAATCAACCTGGCTCCAAAGCATCTCCGCATAGATTTTCTCATCCTCATTTTCTTCTGCAATATACTCGGATGGTCCAACTATTTCCTCATCAACAATATCCTCCTCATCCATCTCTTGGAAGTCCTGCTCCGTCGACAAAAACTTCACAGAAATGAGACGCTCGGCCATAGCCTCTCGCATGGCGCTTGCTGTAGCCGGTCTATCACTTCCACAGTATCTCGGCGCCGGCATGAAAAATGGCAGTTTTATAGCATCGAGATTGCGCAAATTTCCGAGAGGTCCTCTCGTCGAGTTGGGCGGGGGGACAATTAAAATGATGCCGAGCTCATAATTGGATATCCGCAATCTTGAACCAGAAAGAATGCTGTTATGAAGGCCGGAACCTCCATTCTGTGGTGAAGGGGGGATGACAAGTCCCCAGGCTGCGGGACTGAAGTTATGAGATCCGCAATATATCCAACCGAAAGCGGAGGGGCTTGTGTTGGACTGGAAGCGCCGCCTAGCAACCTGTTCAGTTAGACTATTTGGTGTCACTTTTGATTTCTATTTTTTTAGTTTTACTTATATTTTTAAAAATATGTTTGGTTAGTATATTTTTTTAATATTATTTTTAAATTTTTTTTTAAAAAAAATAAATCAACTTGTTTTTAAAAACTAAAAATATGTTTTAAATGTTTTTAAAAATTATCATAATCAAATATGTTTTAATTCAAATTAAAACATAAATAAAGTGACATAAAATAAAAAAGAAAAGTGATTTCAAACGGCGCCTTAGTAATCAAGAAAATTATGAGGATACCTTGACATGCATTGGATATCCAATTCTATAAGAAGGATTTGGAACTGCATCATGAAGAATACCGGTAGTTCTCAATCTTTGCCAAGTTTTCTGCGGACAAAAGCATCTTTACATGATATGAAGAGTTCTCAAAAGATCAATATCTAAAGATTTTATTTTATTTATTTTTTTTAGATGAAAAAAAAAAGTATTATAAAGAGTGCATAAGTGGTGTTTATCTTGACAAAGACTGCTCTTCAGGGAAATGGTCAGGAATTGCAGACATATTCCACTGAAAAACTCTTGATATGCAATATAATGTAAAACCTTGATACTATTGCTTCTTGAATTGCACTTCTTGCCTGTCTCACATTCATCCTAAAAGTATGTTGTTGTAATCAATGAATTCTCTCACCTTGAATTTTCAAACTATGAGGTTGTTTGAAATCACTGTTATTATTGTTGTTTATGTTTTTTTATTTTGTTTATATTTTAATCTAAAATAAAACATATATGATAGTTATAGTTGTTACTTAAAATAACTTTTAAATGTTTCTAGTGTTTTTAAAAATAAGTCGAATTATTTTCATTTTGTTTTAAGCCATGTTTTTAAAAAAAATAAGAAAAAATAAAATAAAACAAAAAATAATCCACAACAGACCTTAAGAAAACGTGCTCCAAGTATCTTCCATAAAGATACTTTAGGATTACATGTCATTGATCGCAAAGATATTGGATACAATATTTTAAATCCCATTCCAAGGATTTGTTAGGTTGAAATATGGCAGTGTTTTTTGTAACGACATAGGCTATAAAGCTAAATTTAAATAGAGCAGAATGGATGATACCGGCAAACGGTTTTGATTGTAGAATTTCAGCAAAACAGTAACTAAGAAATGCTGAGAAGAATTCCGGAGACAAAGAACATCAAAAGGAATTTAATCGATGTAAAGGAAGCACAAGAATACTCACGGCTAGACCATTTCGGCGGCCAACTACAGGATACAGCTGTAAGGAAGATGAGGGGGACCAACCTTCCCAAAAGAAAGAAACTGGCAATTCTAAAACTCAAAATCTGCCCTTGCACAAAACACCGCTATTTATAAGCGCTAAGACCCCCTTTATTATAACTTTGTCATCCAAATTAAAAAAACACAAAAACAGAGAACTAAAACAAAAAAAA